AGTCTGCAGGTGCCTAGGGGCTCGGACGCCCAGACACCCGAGTCCTCGTGGCGCTAGGCCTGCCCCGTTCTCGGCCGTGGCCACGGGCCTGCCCCCCCCAGGAAGGGGGCTCAGGAGCACAGAGCAGCCTGGGTTTGACGGGAACGCTCGCTTCCTTACTGGAGGCCGGCTTGGACCTGGGTCAGCCTGGCTTCCGGAAGGCAGGTTAGAAATAAACCCCGTTGTGACATTTTTATATAAAAACCTTCCGCTCAGGAGCCCGAGAACACCAGCAATTAGTCCCATCGACTGCACGGAAGGTCGAGTTTGAACGGGACACAACTGCCGTCTCCCGATTAAATTTTAATCTCCCGGGCAGGACGCTATCGGGTTTCCCGCGGCCGCCAGCCCCGTCCGCGCAGGGCTCGCTGCGGCCTGGACGGGGCTCCGGGGAAGAGGTTCCTGCAGAAACCAGCTCTGCTCTGTCTGTGGGCCTGACAACGTCCTCACTGGGCAGCCTGGGAGATGTCGAGACGGGACACCCGCGGTCGGCCGGCCGGGATGTGAGCCCCGGGCACGCACTTGTGGCCGTGGGCAAGGCAGGCCGGGCACTGGCCAGCCTCACGGCTGTGACTCGCTTGGCCTTTGGATTCCTCTATGAAACTAGGCGACTTTTCAGCTCTCGATGGCTTAACTTAAAAATCTGAGTAGAGCCCTGGCCGGTTTGGCTCGGCGGTCGGAGCACCGGACCGAAGAGTCGCAGGTTCGAATCCGATCAAGGGCGTGTACCTCAGCCGTGGTTTGGTCCCCAGCCCTGGTCAGGGTCACGCGGGAAGCAACCAGTCGATGTTTGTCTCTCTCTCGCTCTCTGTCTCTCTCACTCTATCTGAAGATAATTGGAAAAATATCCCCGGGTGAGGATTAAAAGAACATCTGAGGGTAAAGCCACAAAGACACATCACTGTATCCGGGACACGGAAGCACCCAGCTCCTCTTCCTCCTCACGACCGACACTCACAGAACCCATCAGGGAGGGAGATGGGGCCCACGTCCGCACACACCTGGGGGAGGGGTGCAGCGAGGCAGCCTCCTCTCCACCCCCCAGCCGCTCACGCACAGTCTCAGGGGGCACAGTCCCAGGGGGCACCTCAGGGGACGCTCTCGGGTTAGCAGTCGGGCGGCAAGCACCAAGTGTCAGTTGCGACCTCCGTGGGGCCAGAAGAAACTACCGGAGGGTGAGGTTTGGACCCGGGAGCCGTTCAAAGCCGCACAGGTAAGAGCCCAGAGCCGGTCTGAGCTCCGCCCGGACCGCGCGCTCCACAGGACTGGACATACTCGTCCCCGCGTCCCGGACAACGGCACCAGCCCCTGGCTCCTCCACCGAGCCCCGAGCTCACGCTCTGGGAAGGGCTGCGGCTGAGGTGAGTCTCTGGGCCTCACGGGGACCTCGAAACCCAGCTGGTGTCCTGGTGGCCGGGACCCAGCGAGGGCAGCCCTGGGCCAGGCCGCCCAGGTGCCAGTGCCCGCTGAAGTGGGGGCCTGAGCAGCGGCCCTGACTCTGAGCCCTGCCCGGTCAGGACTGGGGTGGCCGACTGTCCCTCAGCCTCGCTCGTAAGGAGCAGGTGGCAGCTCCTTCCGCGGGGTCAAGAAGAGAAAACCCACACGTGACGTCCAGCTGTCCTGGGGGGGCTGGCCTGGCACTGACCACGGGGGGTGCGCATGGCCCGGCCAGGCCCCGCGCAGAGCAGACTCCATGGAACGGGCCGCGCGCTGGGTGGGTGCCCCCTCCGGGCCAGTGAACCTCACTCTAGCCTCAGCGTGTGCCGCCGCAGTGAGCACCTGACCTTCCCGCCCACTGGGGTACGGGGAAACATCCGGACCCCCGTCCGTGCGTCGGGCCAGCGTCTCATCAGGCTTTGGAAGCAGACACTTCCGCCCGGCACAGACGTGACGAATGTGACTACAATCGTCCTCACGGCCCGAGCCCAAAAGATGAGACCTGAAACACGGACCTGGACTTGGGGCCCCGGCCACCGAACCCGTCGGCTCCGAGCGACACCGTTCACTGAGCTGATCTCGCCCCTTAGGAACCTCCGGCACTGCGGGCACTCGAGCCGAGACCGCCGAGGGGCACGGTGGGAACCCGACGGGACGGGACAGCGCTCTGCGGCGCGAGGCTGGAATTCCCGTGACCCGGGTCTAGAAGAAACCACAGGTCTCACGCAGAGACGACCGGGCACCGGTGCTGCCCAGGACCCGTGACCCTCACCGCGCGTCTCACGGGTGAACGAGGACGTCGAGCAGACTCCGCGAGGTTAAGGCGACACCTGCTACGGCTCCGTCTGCAAACTACCGTCCAGAGGTGACCAAGCGCAGGCGAGAGCCTCCACACAGGCACCGAGGCCCACGCCATGGGCGCCACCGCCCGGTAACAAGGTGGTCTGGGACCTGCCGCCAGCAGCACCGTCACCGCAGAGAGCGGGGGGCCGTCCCCTTCCGAAGGGGCTCGGGGCCTGAGCTGGACACCGACACGGCTCTCACAGGTCACCTGTGCTCTTGTGCCCCCCCGAGCTCTGAGAACAGGGCGTCATTCCGTCCAACTCAAAGCCTCCGTCCAGAACTGAATCCCGCCTCCCACCGCAGCAAGACGGCGGCATCGTCTTCCCCACAGGTCTGCCAGGGGCTCGCGCCATTAACACCGGGCGGAGGGAGCCGGGCACAGAGGCCCGAGCACAGGGAGGGTGGCGGGTTCTCCGCCCGGACCCCACATCCCCGCGGTGGAGGCAGCTGCGCGATGGACCCGCTGACGACCCGGCACTGGCCGCACCTTCTCGGGAAGGAAGTCTGGTCGCCCTCTCCCGCAGGCAAACGACCTCGCTCTGGCTGCCCCGGGCCCCGGCTGGCCGGTCACACGGGAAGGCAGGGCCGGGACCAGGAAACACATTGGCCGTGGGACCAGCCCGGTGGGAAAGGTCGACCTCACCCAGGGTGGCAGTGTGGAGCCTCCCGTGGCTGTTTGGTCGACTCACAGGAATGTGAGCGACGTCACGGACTCGGGCTGCGGTCACGAGACAAAGAGCCGCCGGGGGGCCACAGATGCTAACGTCCCGGCAAAGACAAAGGGGCGGCTTTCTGACCACAAACTAAATGCAGGCCGGCCGCTGGCCAGAGACACCGGCGCCTCGGAAGGAGAGGCAGCCTGCCCTTGACAGTGGGGTTCGGGTGGGTGTTCCAGGCTGAACCACGTCCCCAAGACCCAGGTGGAAGTCTCGGTCCCCGGGCCTCAGCAGGTGGCTGTCTGTGGACTTGGGGCCTTTGCAGTGACGAAGTAAACGTGCCGTCCTTGGGGAGCCCGCCCAGAAGGTCCACGTCTTTGTGGGAGGGAGAAAGCCAGACACGGAAGGGAGACAAAGAGACGGTGGGTGACAAGTGTCTGCACGTCCGGGAGAGGCCCGGAGGGAGCCGGCCCGGCCCGGCCTGGCATTTCGTCAGAGCCGCCCCACAGACTAACGCGGGGTTCCCTGCACTGTCTCGTGGTCTTAAAAACCCCTGTGCTACAGTTACGTTCACGCGTAGTTACAGCGACAGATGATGCTGCTGCTCAGTCCTTGACACCCGGCGTGGAGCGAGCCCCCGCGCTGTGACCTTCGCGGTCCAGGAAACACAGAAGGTCACACACGATGACATGTGGGGACTCCGGACAGGAGGCGCTGGGTTCCTGAATGTCCCTATTCTCATCTCCAGGAAAACTGCGGAGACAGTGTCTCAGGCGCAACCCGTCTTACGTGTTTAAAAATGCCTCCAGTGGGCTACGTTCCCACATTAATGAATGAATCCCAGGTTCCGAGATACATGTTTGATGATCCCTTCGAAAACATCCACTCCTTAGACTTTGCAGCATTGAGAGCAGACCCTGGGGTAAAAGTGGGGACCCACCTAGGACACGTCGAGAGAAACCAGTGCTCGTTTCTTTCTCTGAATTTTAACCGGCTCCCAACTGTCCCCGTCTGATTGCATTGAAACTGTCAAGTCTCTGCCACGGACACGGAGGAGGTGGAGGCGCAGCTGGGTCGCGGGTGCCGGGACTCGGGTACGAACGAGCAGCACTAAGCCCCCGACCCCGCCGTGGGAAGGAGGGGTCTGGGCAGAGCAGGGCTCTGGCAGCAACAGGCCCAAGCGTGCGCCTCGTCCCGTGACCCTGTCCCTCAGCTCCACAGCCCCTCCAGCAGCACACGGGGCTCACGGCCCCGAGAACCTCACGCAGGTCGCGGGGCCTCTTCCCGGAGGCGGCCGCAGCCGTGTCAGCCGGCGCCACGCACGGGAGCCCCTGTGGACGCTTCCACGCCCCATCACCGCCCTGCGGGGAGAGCAGGCTGCGGGGTGTTAGTGGCCCACCTGTTGGGAAAGCTGTTTAGTTAAAAATAAAAACGCCAGGCTGAGTAAGCGGCCCCAGCGGCCCCACACGCCGTGCGAAAGAAAAACCAACAACCTGCGACGCGGAGCTGGGAATCTGCCTGAGCTGTCACTAGGCTGCGGGGACCGCGGTCTCGGGGGAGGGGCCCTGCTGTTCTGCACGCGGCGTGGGCGCGGGGGGAGCGGGCTGCCACCGGGGTCGCGGAGCCGAGGCCCATCTGCACCCAGGCGCTGGCAGGACTCAGGTGGGACTGGGAAGTGGGTGCAGGAGGCGAGAACAAACAGGACAGGGACCGGCCGGTTTCACAAAACCCAGAGCGCGGGCCAGGCGCTCGGCACCCCGCCCCAGCCCCTCGGGATGAGGCCTTTGCAGGGCGTTAAAGAGGTGCGTGAGGGGCGCCTAGAGGCCGGGCCGCACCCACTACGCCCGTGTCCTTGTGAGGACGACTGGGACACAGAGCCGCAGCGAGAGACCGTGTGACACGGAGGGCGGAGCTGGGTGCCGCGAGGAAGGGGAGAAACCGATCCCCGGGGCTGGGGAGGAGGCTCTGGCTCAGGGCCCAGAGGGTCCCGCACGCAGACCTCCAGGGGCCCTCCCACCCGCTCACCTGGCGTAGGAGGTGGGGGACCTGGGCCGGGCCCAGGGGTACGGGTGCTGCGGCACCGACAGGTACTGGTCGCAGAAGGTGCCCTTCCGGATGTGCTGGAACGGGGGGAACTCCTCGGGCGGGAAATCCGACGAGGGCGGCGTGGTCCCCAGGTCCTCGCCGGCCGGCTCCACCTTGAGCGCCACCGAGGGGGAGTGGTCCAGGGCGGTCTTGCGGGCCTTGATGGGGACGCCCTCGCCCAGGTCCAGGCTGCTGTCGGTGCTCAGCGCGTTGATGGCGGCGACGATGGCTGAGCTGGTGTACTGCGTGGTGTTCCCCAGCCAGGTGTCGTCCGTGACGCTGACCCGCGGCGAGCTGTGCGGGGACAGTGTGGGCGAGTGGTGCGGCGAGCAGGACAGCTGCCGGCCGTTGAGGCCGTACTTCCTCTTGTTGTTGGGGGACGAGGGTCTGGAGGTGCGCGCCCCCAGCCAGCTCTCCTCGGTGATGCTCGTGCGGGGTGAGGTGGAGGGCGAGTGTCTCGGGGAGCCCAGCAGGCTGCAGGCCCCCAGGCCGCGGGGGAAGCCCTCCTCGGGGTCCGTGGTCTTGGGGGACACGCAGGGGGACTGCCAAGGGGACGTCTGTGGGGACGCACACGGGTATGAGTAGCTGGACTCGTAGGACGAGGCCTCGGAGTTGCAGCTGCGAGAGGACAGGCTGCTGGCCGGGCTCAGGCAGGAGGGGTCCCGGTAGGCCTCCAGGCTGGGCAGGTGCAGGGTGGCCGTGGACGGGGGCCGCGCGGAGCTGGGGAGCACGTCCTCCACCTCCACGTCGTGGAAGAACTGGCTGCTGTGGTGGTGCAGCCCCAGGTACGACGTGATCTCGATGCGGGGGCTCTCCAGGGTCTGGGCGCCGTTGGGCCTGCCGTGGCCGGAGGACACAAAGTAGCCCGAGGGCCCGCCGTCCACCGCGGCTCCGTACCCCGAGGGGTGGCCGGCTGGCGCCACGGCGGAGATGCCGGGGGCCGAGGCCTGCATGTCGTGGCAGGGGGCCGGCAGCGAGGGGTGTGCCGTGGGCAGGGGCAGACCGGGGCTGAGGTTGGTGGACACATAGCTGTAATGCTCTGGAAGGAAAAGGAGAGACAGCGTGAGGCCGGGCAGCAGACGTGCAAACCCACAGCCCAGGGAGCCCAGCTCAGGCCTCACGCCCGCGGGGGGCGGTGCTCACGGCCTCCCCAGGGCTCAGGGCGACGGCCCAACCCCTCCCAGCAACAAGCTCCTGGGACCCTCCCGCCCCCCCCCCCCCGGCTGCCCTCCGCCCCCATCCTCCTCCGGAGCAGCCCCAATGCCCCTGCTTCCCTCTGCTCTGCTCAAGGTGCCTCCCTGACCCGTCCAGTGACCCTGCCTCTTGTGCTCACACATCACCACCTGCGCTTCGTCCTTCCCCAGCGGAAACTGGGTGCCCCGCCCGGCGCAGGAGCCGAGGTTCCCTGCCTTCAGAGCCGGGACCCAGCCAGCGCATCGAGGTGACTGGGTGGGTGGAGAGTTGGATGCAGATGGGTAGGGGGTGGGTGAGTGGGTGGATTAACTGGTGAGTGGGCAGAATGAGCAGGTGGGTGGAGGGAGAAAGGGGTGGGGGATGGGGGATGGGGTGAGGGATGAGGTGGGGGAGGGGGGAGGGATAGGGATGAGTGGGTGGGGTGGGGGATGGGGTGGGTGGGGGATGGGGATGAGTGGGTGGGGTGGGGATGGGGGATGGGGTGAGGGATGGGGTGGGGGAGGGGACGAATGGTGGGTGAGAGGATGGTTTAGATACAGGGACCAGTGCATGTAAAGAGTTTAACGCACTAATCACTGCTGAGACGCTCTGAGCACCAGCTGTGAACACACCCCGGGGCTGGATGGGAGCAGGTCCTGGGGTATCTCCCACCAGAGCGGTGACGGTGGCTCACGACCTGGAAAATGCCCCTTTGATAAAAACACAGCAGGCGACTGGTGACCGCCAGACTGAGGAATCAGTACGTGCTAATTATAACCTCAGTAAGACGTAATAAAAAGCAATTACTAGTGTAATTAGTAATTTTTATCCGGCCAGGACTCGACGGCAGTTCGACAAGACGGAACATCCCGGTTCTGCGCTCGTGCGCACAGCGGACATCCAGGTCGCTAAATAATGGAAGCGCACACGGAAACTCGACCCCGGCCCCTGAGCGATGGCCGAGGGCATCTGTGTGAGACGCGCCTGTCCTGTGCGACACGCCACGGTGAATGCCACACCCCGGCCCTCACTACCAGAGACGGGCGCAGACCCCACACGGGGGGGGCCCCCTTCCACTGTGACTTGTCCAGGTGCAGCCACCAGGCCCCTCGGTGGTGATCCAGTCTTTTGTAATCTGTGTGATCGGGAGGCTCTTGCTTTGATGGAGCTAAATCCCCCGGATGAAAACGCCGCTCAGGGTTCCCCAGAGGCAGGCCCGCCCCCCAGGCAGCTGGGAGCACCCACAGCTCCTTCCACCGGGCGTCTCCGGAGGCCGTTTGGAGAGAGAGTGACAGAGCTCCAGATGTTCAGAGCGGCGCCAGGCTCCCAAAGGCACCCGGGGGACACGGCCACGCGAGGAAGCAGCAGCCAAGATGCCACTGAGCAAGGTCGACGCCGGCGCGGCAGAGAGGCCTCCGGCGCCGCGGCCCTGTGCCCGTCAGGCCCCTGCAGCTCCGCACCGGGGTGCGCTGTCCTGAAAAGCTCTGGGCCTCACCCCGCAGCTCCCCAGTCTGTCCCAGGAAGCAGCAGGACACTGGGGACAGTCTCATGGGAAAGGGTGAGGCCTCAGGCCACAGGGCAGGAGGCAGGGACCAGGCGAAGCCTGACCCCACGTCTGAGCCCGGCTTCCAGTCCTGAGGTGGCTGCTCCCATGTCCCCAACATACGCAGTGACCCCAGGACACACCAACACCCTCACATGCTGGCTGACACAGTTAACACAGAAACAGAAATCAGATGTTGAAAATGTGGTTATGAGCCTGGCCGGTGCAGCTCAGTGGTTGGGCGTCAATCCTGCACCAAGAGGTCGCTGGTTCGATTCCCGGTCAGGGCACATGCCCAGGTTCTGGGTCCGATCCCCAGTGGGGGCGTGCAGGAGGCGGCCGGTCGATGTTCTCTCTCGTAGATGTTTCTATCTCTCTCTCCCTCTCTCTCTAAAATCAATAAAGAATAAAAAAAAATTGCGTATGACACTTGTAGAAATCAAACGAGAAGTTAGTAATGCTGGACGGGCCCTTCCTGACAGGCCCAGTTCCTCAGAAGGAGGTCACGTGGGGTGCAGCTGCCGAGCCCCAGGCACGGAGTCGTGACCTCTCAGGACGAGTGGGCCCCACTGCATCCTGGCACACGGGGGCCAGGCCTGGACACTGGCTGGAGGGGCCAGGAGGGCGGGCCAGCCCCACAGAGGACATGTTCCGCCCTCAGGCACCGGGAGACCAAATGCTCCTCTGTGTTTCTTCCAAAGGGAATCTGAAGATTCGCCCGGGTGAACAGTGTTTCTTCATGGCCATGTGCTAACTATTGTGCACTCACACGCGTTACAGACACCCCCACACGTTCCCACACACATCCTCCTCCGTGTGCACGCACACGTGTTACAGACACCCCACACGTTCCCACACACATCCTCCTCCGTGTGCACTCACACGTTACAGACACCCCCACACGTTCCCACACACATCCTCCTCCGTGTGCACGCACACGTTACAGACACCCCCACACGTTCCCACACACATCCTCATCCGTGTGCACGCACACGTGTTACAGACACCCCCACACGTTCCCACATACATCCTCCGTGTGCACTCACAGACACCCCCACACCACCCTTCATCAGGCCCAACGCTCCCCAACCTCCAACAGGACTGCCCGTCCGAGGACGTCAGTGTCCGTGGCGGCAGGTGCCGAGGCCCGAGACCGCAGTCACGTCGTCGACCATCAGGCCAAAGCAAAGCCCCGTCCTGCTGCTGCGTGATCACAGGCATTACTGTTAAGTGAGCAGTGAGTGAGACACGACTAACGCAAGCGAGAACCCGCACAGCGTGTCTGCAGGGCAGGAACGTCGGCACTGGGACCTCGACACGTAGCTGTTACGCTGACTTGTTCCAGCGTCAGGCGTAGGTCAGAGAGAGGCTTGCCGGCCCTCACCGGGCGTGTTTTCACTACGGACCCGATTCCCGCATTTCCTCAACAGCCACCGCGCGGGCAGCACCCCTGGGCTCCCGGCTCCTCTTCAGGATGGGGCCCAGCGCCCCCCGCTCCCCTGTCCCCTCCGCAGCCCACACGCCTGTGGCCACCGCTGCACAGCTGGTCACTGCAGGGGCCTCGCTGGCCTTCTCCTCGTCCTGACATCACCTTCCTGGCCCAGAGACGGCGCGGGGTCACTTCCTACGGTCTCTGCACCCTCCTGCTTCTGGGGTGGATGGAACCCCCCAGGAGCCCCGGGGCCCAGGCACCAGCTACCACATGTGCAGCCAGCCTGCACCAGTCAGACTCTGTGCCCTAAACAAAGCCTCCTTGACGTTTGGTCCTCGAGGTGGTGATGTCCCCATGACAGGAACAAGCACCGCCCCCAGCCCCGAAGGGGCCGCGGAGAGAATGGCCCCCACACACCCACGCTGGGTCTTCCGGTTATGGCCCCATGTCTGCAGAGCAGCAGATGATGTAACCGTCCACAGAAGACGAATTTCCACATCAGAGAAACCACCATCTGCAGGGAGGGGTACAAGGCACAAGTTGGCGGGAGTGTGACGTGGGGTCGTGCATACTGTAGGGTCCCGCCTGCAAGAGGCCCTGGGTGCTCCTTCCGGGGTCCCCTGCTCCCCGAGATGGCTGGGGCCTGCAGGACACTTTGGACAGACCCCTGCATTTCCTGCTCGACTAAACGAATACTAAGCCTATCTACAACTTGTTTATTTTTTATCCTCACCTGAGGACATTTTTCCATATTTTGTTCAGATAGAGTGGGAGGGGGAGAGAGAGAGAGAAACATCGACGTGAAAGGGACACGTCGAGTGGCTGCCACCCGCTCGACCAACCAGGGCCGGGGACAAACTGCAACCGAGGTACGTGCCCTTAGTGGGAACCGAACCCGGGTCTCTCCGGACCGCAGGCCGACGCTCTAACCGCTGAGCCAAACCGGCCAGGGCTCTACAACTGTTTTAAGAGATGTAGTCAATCCCACCGTTGAACCACCATTTGTTGGCAGGAAGGTTAATTCCAAGAATTAAAAAAAAAATTGTAGCCACCAGCAGAGCAAGTCTGGGGCCTCCCCACCCACCCAGCTGCCCACAGCACCAGGTCCGAGGGAAGTTCAGGATGAACTGGGGAGGGGGGGGCAGACACGTTTCTGCGGGCACTTGGGGCCCAGGAAGGGGCCTTTACTTAAACCAAAGTCTTCCACGAGGAAGAGGAGAACACAAGGCCTTCGTTTAGAAACAAGAGCTCACCTAAGCAGTTCTCCTCAATTAGACCGATTTCAAAGCAGGCCCCAGAGTGGGAACCTCGCGAACACCCCACCGAGCCGACGAGGCCCCTTCGGAAGGAAAACACCAGCCGGCCGAGGTCCCAGCCTGCGGGGCGGGCACCCCGCTTTGCCCGCGTCACTTCACGTGGTTTTATTCCCAACCGACACTGCATTCACGTCTGAATTATTTAACTACTCAAAGGGATCCCATTTACATGGAATAAAAATATTTCCAGTAACTTGCTTGACAGTCCTGAGATGTTCAGGCCGATTCATGTCATGTCAGGAGCCCTGCTGAGCTCAACACCTACCAGAGTTGGTTTCCCCTGGCCACCTGCCAAGCAGGGCTCATTAAATTACAGCGCAGGTGAGCACAAAGAGGCAGCAGGAGCCTAAGCAAACATGGGAGCGTATTCAAAATGCTTTAATATAATAAAAGCGATGGCTCCCTGGCTCATCCTCAGAAGACAGGAACTGCCCGCCCCCACTCCCCTAGTTCTGCGCCCCGCCCCCCAGCAGAGCACCGGGCAAGGTGCTCGGGGCTCAGATGGACCTGGAGGGGCAGGTGGGGCCTGGCAGCCGGCAGGGCGTGTTCAGCTCCCCGTCTGGTCCACCAAAGTCAATGCTCAGCAAATTCAGCGAGCCGGCGTTGTCAGAGTGATGCGTCTCATTCTGAGAAATAGTTTATTTCAGAACCACGCCAAAAAAATGGACCTCCGTGCTCTCCGTAAGGCCAGTAATGCCTGGAGGTGTTCGGACCCGGGACCCCCGTCCTGTGGGGGGCTGCGCCGGCCAGACGGGCCCAGCGTGGACAAGCCGACGTCCCCAACAGGCAGACGATTCCAACAGAAATCGCCACTCTGCCCAGGTGCGTCCTGTGGCCTTTCAGACTCTGAAAGACACTGACTTTCCTTTTCCTCTGAAGGACCTTCCCCTGCAGGGTTTGCTGGGGTTGGGCCGCAGGATATGAGACCAGCCCCACCCTCCCAAACACCTGGCCGGACCCAAGTCCTCGGGCATTGGAGCCAGCACCTCTTCGCTGAGATTACACTTCTGCAGGTAATGGAAACAAAACAAAATAAAACTCAGACATGCTCGATACCCAGACCCCTGTTGAAACCTTAATGAGCCAAGTTCAGAGCGAAGGGCCTGAGAGTGTGGACCTCATCCTGCTGACGGAGCGGCCGCAGGACACGCGGCCTGAGGCCTGGGCCCGTGGACGACCAGGGAGCAGCCAGCACTGCAGAGCGGAGCCCGCCGACCTTCCGGGGGTCCCCGCCTGGCCGCCTTCGGTCCTCGACTCCCTCTCAGCCCGTCTTTAAGGAGCTAAAACGTCAGGTTGTTTGTTACTAACTGTGGCCCTTCCTACGGCGAACACAACGCAGAATTAGAACACTCTCCGTACACTCCCTGACGGAAACACCTCGAGAACGGCGGGCCCCCTGCTGAAGACGGAGGTGCTGTCCTGCAGCAAAGCTCCCGGCCCCACGTCGCGGGTCCGGTGCTCCCGAGGCCTCCCTCTGGCTGGTGCCCGCAGGGCAGGACCCGCACCTGGGCCGGGCACCCGGGCTCTCGACGCCACCCCTGCCACGGCGGGCTTCAGGATAAAAGCCCCCAGACACGCGCCCTCCGCGTGGGAGCGATGAAAGGCCACCCGCCACGCGTGCGGAGGGGCGCAGACCGGCCCGCGCCACGCTGGAGGTGCCCGGCCGGCCGCTGGGGAGACTCCAGCCAGACCCGGAGGCCTGGCCAATGGCCGGCAGGAGTTGCCAGGGCGACAGCACTGCAGCGGTGGGCCGGCCAAAACAACAAGCAAACAGGAGCCTGGCGGGAAGCGGGGCCACGCCCGACGCCCAGCTGACAGCCTAGCTATTTCCTGAGACCCAGAGAGGAGCCGAGGCCCACCACCCGCCTTCTGCCAGGGGCGGGGCTGGGACTCAGCACAGGAAGACACGGCGCCCACAACACGCCTGGCGGACCAGAGCGTATCATCTTCAAAAGTCTCTCTCTTTCTCCCAACAAATGGACACTGACTGTCGTCTGCACCCGCCGGGTGCTCTGGGAATGGAGAACCCCAGACCCCGTCCCTCCTTTGAAGTAACAGGTAAGACAAGCTCTCAGGGCCGCCCAGCTGACGAGACCAGGAGGTGACTCAGGCGACAGGGTGGACAGAGGGCCAACCCATCGCTGAACCCTGGAGGCCAGAGGAATCTCGAGGCAGAAGGAATCATGACTGCGTGTCCGGGCCGCCTGTGGTCAGGGCTGGCCTGGCCTTCTGAGGAAGTGCCCGTGTCCGTGCTCAGCAGAAGCTGGGAAGCTGTGTTACTGAGCTCACAACTGATCTTGGTATTAGTCACTCATTCATTTATTTATATCCAGGCTCAGCCCAGAGATCACGTGAAGACACTGCTGTCACCCATTCGGAGCTGGAGAATTTAACGAAAAGATCTAACATAACAATGCAATAGTTTAATAATTGACAAATACAGCGTACAATTAGTAAGAGCGAGAAGAAAGGACTTCATTTATAACTGCCCAAACTTGGAAGGAGCCAAAACTTCCTTCAGTGGGTGATGGATGAGTGAGCTGTGGTCCATCCTGACCGTGGAATATTATTCACCACTGAAGAGAAATGGACTGTGGAGCCATGGACAGGCCTGGAGGAACCTTGCATGCCTATGGCTAAGTGCAAGGAACCACTCTGAACAGCTACACGCTGTGTGGTCCCAACTCCACCAGTCTGGCCTTTCACACCATAGAGGTGGGAGCGTCGTCCACACTGACAGCTGTAACTTGCGACCTTGTCTAAATGAACTGAAAAGGGTCTGACCGCCAAGGGAGAGACTCTGATGGCGAGAACCCCGGACGCGCCCACAGAGCCGTGCACAGAGCCACAGGCAGCCAGACCGGCAGGAAAGTCAAGGCCCCGAGTCCCTGCCACCTCGGTCTGCCTGGGCTCCCATGACCCCCGAGGCCGGAAACCCACAGCCCAGGAAGACGAGGGCAGGCAGTCGGGGAGGGTGGAGAAGGGAGATCAGGCGGCCGGGGCCTGGTCGGAACATTTATATTTTTTTTCAACAACCAGGGTGTTACGGTCTTTAAAAGAAGAGCGGCGAGCGATATGGAAAATATTATACAATCGCTGCAGAAACAGCGACGGTGCCAAGTGTGCAGCCTCATCAGCTCACCGCCACGCGGGCACCCAGAGAGCGTGCCCTGAAGTCGCCCGAGGGGAGAGCAAGGCTGCTGGCTGCCCCACACCGCCGCCCAGCACACAGGCTGTGGTTTCTCGGCGGCTCCTTGTTCTTATTCAAGGGCTCCCCTCCTGGGGGGCGGGCGGCAAGGTCCCTTTATTTTGGCAAAGAGAAAATGAAAGGAAGAAAAGGCCCCGGCCCCCTGGGTTGGGCTACTTCCACTTTAACTTTGTTCTGGGAGGGGCTAGGAGCCTGAGGCTGCAGGGCAGGGTCAGGGACAGATGGGGGGCTCGGTGGCCCCCCTGCCCTCTGGCAGTGACCACTCACCACCTGTCCCCAGGCACTATCCAAGTCAGGCCTTGGACGCTCCTGTTCCCTGGCTTGAGCTGTGCAGTGGCCGCCTGGAGCCAGGGGCCCGGTCCACAGGACGGGTCCAGAGACTGGAGAAAGTGTGACCCACCAGCAGGGGACCTGATGCTCCCTGTAGCCAGAGCCAGAAACCGGCTGTGGCACGTAGGGGCCTCACAGGGCTTCCCCACCCGCCCACCCCCACTTGCCATTGAACTTGGCCTGTTTTCTGCCTGCTCCAGAGGCCTGGGCACAGGACAGGGGGTAGGAACACTGTGGGTGCTGCCCTGACCTGACCTGGCCTGACCTGGGTGGGGGTGGGGCGGGGGGCAGAGGGACAGGGCAGGGTCCTGGGCAGAAAGGAGGGTAGGGGCTGCGGCCCCCCGCCTTGTTCTCCAGGCTGGCTCCTCCGACCTCGCCCGGGCAGCTGACCCCTGTACCCCGACCCTCCACCCATGACCCATGCACCCCGACCCTCCACCCATGACCCATGCACCCCGACCCTCCACCCATGACCCATGCATCAAGGGGACCTGCACCTCTGCACCCTCCCTACTTCCAACCCTTGCATTCCTGGTCTGCACCCCATCCCTGCACCGCAGGACCCTGAAACGCTGGACAATGCATCCCAGGCCCACACCCCCTGCTCTGCACCCCCGACCCAGCATGCCTGGGCCCTGCACCCCGCACCCCTGCACCTCCAACCTGCCGGACCCACCTGGGGCGACCCCCGCGGTGCCCTCGTCGCTCTGGTTAAATTCGAAGAGGAAATCAAAGTCGAACTCCTGGTCCTGCTCCAGCCCCGTCATGTCGGGGAGGCTGGGTCCGGAGTCCGGGGCAGAGTCCAGGGTCTGGGGTTCCAGGTCAGGGTCGGGGTCGGGGTCCAGGATCGGACTCGGGGTCCGGGAGCGGGGGCCACGCCGGGGCCCGAGGTCCAGGGCCGGGGCCCGGGTCCAGGGCCGGGGTCGGGGCCGGGGCGCAGGCCGGGTCGGGTCGGTCCCGGCCGCGGGCACCTGTGGTCGCCGCCCCGCTCGGCTGCGCCCTGCGCTCGGCCGGTCCCGGTAACGTGACTCCGGCCGCCCCTCCCCCCGCGCGGCCCCTCCCCCGCGTTTCCGGGTTCACACAAACAAGCTCGCGGCCGCGTCCGAGTTTTAAATAAACTCCGGGAGCCTCGGCTCACGCCTGTCACTTGCGTCCCGCCTGGCGCCCCACCCGCGGGCGAGACCCCGGAGTGTCCGAGGGCGGCGCCGGCCCACGCGCGGGGGAGGCGGTCCTGCCGGGGCCCCACGCGCCCGCGACTCCCCCGAGACGCGCGGTGGAGCGGCGGCCGCTCCCGAGCGACGGGACGTGCCGCGGGCCCAGGCTCGGCCGCGTCTGGGGGAGCCCGGGGCCCCCAGGCCGGGCGTCGGGCCGGACCCAGTGCCGCCGCCGGCCCGCGGCCCGGGACCCCGCCGGGGGGCTCTCCTGGGACGGGGCCCGCACCCGTGTGGCCCCGGGAGCCAGGCTCCCAGGCCGCGTCTCCACGGCAGCCGCACCTCCTGCCCGGCCCCCCGCCGGCCGCGCGCTCCCGGGCCCGCAGGGCTGCGCTGGGCGGACGGCGGCCTGGAACCGGGGGCGCAGAGCAGCGCGCACCGAGCGCCCAGGGCCAGGCCCGCGGGCACCGGCCGCCCTTTGTCTTTGTCCAGCGCGGAGCTAACTGTCCCCGCGCGCCGGCGCCACGTCGAGCCGCATCCGCACCAGCGAGAGGGGCGCGAGGCTCCGGGGCATCACACTCGGGGGAGCCGCCGGGAAGGAGGGGGTGCTGCCGCCACCCCGCCCTCCTGCTGCCCCACAGGCCCTGTGCCCCGCGGGCATCGCTTTCTCCAGAAGCAGAGACCCCGCTGGGCACGTGACTCCGTCCGCACCCCAGACGCTTCTCTCCCGTGACCCTTTGCAAAGGGCTGGTTTTCTCCAGTGATAAACTATAGTCACTTTGGCCTGATTTAGTTTCTAATAATAGTTCTCACTTTGAGATGTATGTTGGAGGGTTGTTTTGTTTTAGTTTGCTTTTTCTGCTGACCTTCAGGCAAATGGAGGTTCTGTTTTCTGTTGAGAAGCCTCAACATCTCATTTTCCTTTTCGATTTTTTTTTTTTTTTTAAACTTCAGCCATCTTCTCACCTCTGAAAAAGTCACACAGATCACAGCGCTTATCATCGGTTCAGATGAAAACTCTGCTCCACTGTCCGGAGAGGGTGGGCTGAGCTCCGTGCTCAGGTCCCTGGGCCCTGCAGGATTCAGGGTTGCTCTGTCCAAGGCCCAGCTGCTCCCCACCTAATGTTAGATCCCCAACCAAGGTGGCCAGATGGCGTGGCTACTTTTTAAAATGCTTCTTTTACCAGCATCCCCAAACTTTCATCTTCTAAGTGGCACAAGCCATTGGTCAATGCAGCAGACACCCGTCTTGGTGGAAATAGTTAGCTCGGCCCTTCCTTGGAGGCTGCGGGTGTTTCAGGGTGCAGCGCGCCCACCCTGAGTGTGGTACAGTGGGGTGCCGGGCCCTCCTAATCTGGATTAGGACACAGGGCTGCGAAGTTTAGTGGCTGGAGAACAGGGGCGCTTTGTTCTGTTCTGGGAGCCTGGGGGCATTCAATGAGGCAACCTCTGAAGGGGTGGGTGGGTGGCTACCTACAGGCCTGCATTTCTCTGCATTCTTCAAGGGGAAAGCAAGCAGGGCGTCAGAAACAACAGCCTAATGAGCTTCAACCCAGATGCTCCTGGGATTGCGGGAGGCCGGCCGCTCAGAGTCTGAGATGGCAGCTACCCGGAGTGGGCCTGTGGTGAGGCCCCATGGTCCCCGGCCCTCAGTAGGGGGCGTTGGCCTGCAGGAGGGACCCTGCCTCAGATGGGGGGCCTGTCTTTGCGAAGGATGAGATCATACTTTCTGGTTAGCCTAATTTTGTCCTCCGTATAAAATACACCAGTATTTGTTTAGTCAAAGGGCACCCTGCACCTGGACCCTTGCATTTCAGCCAGAGGCAACTCTGCAACATCTTGTCAAGGAGGAAACAGGAAAACGCAGCACCGCCCCCAGAGATGGGTTTTCCTCTTGTCAGAGTAAAAAGATTCTTTGCTGCAGGACAGACTGTTCAAGTAAAAAAAAAAAAACAAAAAAACCTGAACTTTGAAAGGCTTGCGTTTGTGTGTGTGTGTGTGTGTGTGTTTTTAAAGAAGTAATAAGAAATGCACGAGGGAAACTTTGAAATAAGTGTCTGAGGGTTTACAATCCAAACCTCAAGAATTTTTTGAAACTTTTTTTTTTTTAATAGCAAGGCTGGTCCTGTAAGAATTTTCTGATGTTTGCATTTTAATGTTTTCTAAATTGAGATGAACTGGTAAGAAACATAAGACGTGTGTTCCTGCCTTGACACAGGCCCCAGGCCACGACAGCATGGCCCTGGTCCTGTGAGGGTGGGAGTGAGCCCACTGCTAAAGGTAACCCTGTCCCGGAGCAGCCTGCGGAGACTGCGGCCCGAGGCCTGGCGAGCACTGGGCAAGCAGGAGCAGCATGTGCTCTCCAGGGTCCGCAGAAGGACGTCCACCCTTATAAAACGTGAGTGCTCATTATGCATCCTCAGCTTTGCCAACTTTCTTAAAATAATTTAAATACACTGCTTGGCGGCGGGTAAGGCGTTTGGAAAGGTGTTACCCAGCGTCCCTTGTGCACTTGCCATTGTAATTCCTCCCTGGGGTGCTAGTCACCCCTCCCCGGAGGGTCTCCAGACACCTGGGGGAGCCTCCCTTCCCTGTGGGAGGTCCTGGCTGCTCTGGTCACTGGTGGTCCTTGTAGGGGGCGAAGGGGATGAGGCTGTGAGGCTGCCCTGCGCAGGGTGGCGAGCTCACTGTCAGCGGTGGACTCACCATCACCAGGCTACAGGGCAGACCTGCCATCCTGTGACGCTAAGCAAGCAGCTGGCAACTTGGCGGTCCCTTTCCAAAGTGTCCTGAAACGTTTTCTACGATTGGAAATCTGGTGTCCATTGGATTGAAAACCTATGAAATCAGGGGCTGTGTTTGGACAACGCGTTTGATCGCTTTCGGTCCTGCATCCGGCCTCCGGCCTGACGGCCCCAAGCGGGCCCAGCAACGTGGAGGCGGATTTGGAGGCCAGCGCTTGGCCAGAGCGCTCGTGGAGGGGCGAGGCCCCCACACCTCCAGTTTGGCTGGTCTTGAAAGCCACAGGGCAAGAAAACAGACCACCTTTCGTCCTCCCCCAAATGTCACTTCATCCCAAAGTGTCCTTTGTGGTTCTGACGGCCCTAATCTCAGCCACCTCCAAACCGCCAGCATTTGAACTGAGTTTCTACCGCCGGAATTCAACGCGAGGCTGCACCGGCGAAGGCCGAGAGCGCGCACTCAGCACTAGAGAAGAGGAGACACCTATTGGCAAGAAGGCGCGCTCGAAATCAGGGCTGCTCCGGGGAACACCAGGGGGACACCGCTTCCCAGTCTGTCCGGCAAGCCCGCACCGCACCGGGGACCCGGGCCCCTCCCGGGGAGCATAGGCTGGCCGGGCCAGCTGGCCTCTCCCCGGGTCGGAACCTGGGAGCTCGCGCCGGCGGGCGGCGCGGGGGTGTTCGGCGCGGGGCTGGGGGCGCCCGGGCTGAGCTAGGGGACCCGGTGGGGGGGAGGCAGCCACGGCCGCGCCTGCTTACCTTCCTCCGCCGACTTCATGGTGCCGCCGGCGGGCGGCGCGGGCCCCAAAGTTTCTCCTCTCCCGCAGACTGCAGCCGGAGAGCTGAGTGGAAACTTGGACGGGACTGGAAAACTGGTACTTGGCATCCACGCGGCCAAGGCGGCGCGGAGCAGGAGGAGGAGCGGGCACCGCAGGGGTCGGGCTCCCGGGGAAGCCGACTCCAGGCGGACGCTCGCTGCTCGGGCTCAGGGTCTAGCGCCCCGGAGAAATGTCATTGAGGGGCGTGTGCGAGCTGGCGGGCGGTTGCGGCTCGGGACCCGAGCGGGGGGCAGGGGGCGGCGGCGGGGCTCAGAGGTGCGCCCGCGCCCAGTGCCCGAGCCTGGCAGCCGGATCCCTCGCGGCGACTGTGCCTACGAGTCCGGAGTCTCAAAGTCTCGCTCTGACGCGGGGCCGCGCTCTGCCTCCTGCCTTTTTAAAGCTGGAAAACACCTCCCCCGCCTCCCGCCGCCCGGCGCTCCCGCGCCCCCTCCCTGCCGTGACATCACGCCCCGCCCGCCGGAGCCTCAGCGGCCCAGGGGACCGGTGCTGAGCGCCGGGCCCCTCCCCGCGCGGGGCGGCCCCGCTCCCGGCCCGGGACGCGAGTGGGGTGGCCGGGGCTGCGTGGGGAGACGGCACGCGCCCCGGCCCGACGGGTCCCGCGGGTCCCGAGCGTCGCGCTCCCTGCGAGGGGCGGCGGGGAGCAGGGCCGAGGGGCGCCGGAGCGCGGCATGCTGAAGTCATTATATAAAATCGCAGGCTTCCCCGCGGTGGAAATTTGGAAAAGCGCTCCTACTGGCAGGCCCGAGAAAGGAAATTCCCACCCCGCCAAATCACTAACAGATTGCGCGGCAGACCCAGTCCCTCGACCGACTGTCGCTTCCCGAGTGAGCGCCGAGCCCCAGCTCCGGCTGCAGGGGGGCCGCGCGGCCCCTCCCCGGAGCCCGGCCGGCGCGAGAGCTGCCCGAGGGCCGCCCGGGAGCCGCGTCGCCGGCGCTGCCGTCCACGCGGCACTTTCCCCTCAGACCCTCGGCCTCCGCGCGGCGCGGCTGCCAAACAGGCCACATTCCCCCGTTGGCCGCGGGTGGAAGGATCGGAGGCTGGGGTGGTAAAAATGTCTGGTATACAAAACCCATAAATCTATGGCACGGCAGCCTTATGTGGTTTAAAATAAACCCCAAAGGAAAAGACGTGTCTG